TTCAGTCATTTATTTATTCTAGTATTTCTTCAACCCTGCTCTTTCTCCTCTCCTTCCAAGGCTGGGATGACATGAATGTTAGATCTTTTGTTACAGTTCCACAGGTTCCCTAGACACTGTTTATTTTTTTTTCCAGTCCATTTTCTGTGTTTGTCTTAGGTAGTTTTATTGTTACAGTCACTGATACTTCCCTCTTTCCTCTCCATTCTGCTGTTGAGCCCTAATTACTAAGGTTTCTCTTTTTCAGTTTTTGTATTTTCAGTTCCAAAATTTCTTTAATAAAGCTGTCTAATTTTTCATTTGTTTCAAGCATATCCCTAATTGCTTTTTCATTAGTGCTTTAAAACTATTGTAAGGTAATTCTAAGCTGCCATCCCGGTGTTACCATCTATTGACTTTCTTTCTTCATTCAATTTGGTATCTTCCTCTTTCCTGGTATGACAAGTGCCTTTTTGGCCAAAGTCTGGACATTTTGTATTATGTTAGGAGACTCTGGGTCCTATTTAAACTCCTTCTAGCAGACTTCCTCTGACACTACTCCAGCAAAGGACCTTAAGTCCAGGTGTCCCCCTTGGCCTCAGTCCACACCCTAGAGGTGGGGGCCTTTCATTATTTCTGGGCCAGAGTGAGATTTCCAGATCCCTGCACTGTCTCTAGTGACAAGGGAAGTGGTAGGGAGGGCTTCACTACCAGCTTGCTGGATAAAAGCTCCAGCACCCTGCCTGTCATTCTCTGACACCACCCAGTGGGAGTACTGGAGGCCTTTTCACAGCCCGTGAGGATGTTAGTCCAGACTCCCCAGTGGGCTCTTGCTTATATTGGGTGGGAAGCAGCATGGTTTTGTACTGTGATGTTTAGCTGGAGTAGTTATTGTCTAAAAGCCTTTTGTCTTTTTTGGCTGTCCTTTCCTTGTCCGTTGGCCAGAGAGAGGAGCTTTTGTTATGACTTATTTTCAGGATTGCCAGCTTCTTCAGCTCTAAGTCTGAGATATATATATAAGTCACAAAGAAAACCTTAGGAACTCACCACAATGTTGTGCCTCATTTCCTGAGGTCCATGACTGGTCTATCTTCTTCTCTCCACCTTTCAGAGCCTTCTAGTGTTTATTTTTTATGTCCTAGGTCTTTAATTGTATGAATGAAAGGAATGGGGAAAAATATGTCTACTCCATCTTTCTGGAAGCATATGTCTAACCAGTCCATTGTTCACTAAGCAATAAATTATCAAGGCAAACAATGGAATATTGTTTCCTTCTTTTTCATATCGATAGGTTCTAAATTGTGTAAAATAGACATAATTTTTCAATAACTCTCTACTCCATTTTTAAATTATTTAAATTCAAAACTGTATAGAATGCATTATACCTTTCCTATCACCTACTCTTTCCACAAGGTTAGTAGAGGAAGTGACCACAGCACATTACACTAATAGTGTCAGACTGTTTTCTCCAAGAAGCAGATTCGAGATGTCGTTTTGTGAGAAGGGTGTTTGTGAAGGCCTGCCCTTAGGGCTAGCACCTGTGTGAGGAATGGACGCAGGTGCGCACGGAGGGAGAAGTCGAGCTGTGATGCAGGTCATGGGGAGCTCTTAAACTAGAACGGATTATGAGAGTTGTTCTGCCTTGGGCTAAGGTGGCCAGAGCTCCACACGCCACATCAGTCTTACTGTATGCTCTGCCAAGGGCATACCTTGATCCAGGGAGTTCTCTGAAGCCAAAGCAATTTCCAAACTCACTGTCAGCGGAAGGCTGACACTCCCCACAGCTGGGGCCAACTCCTTCCTACAAGGAATGTCTGCCCTACATAGATATTTCAAATGGAAAGGTGTCTTTCAAAACATCCTCTCCAATCCCCTCATTTTATAGAGCCTGTGGCAAAAGGCAGGAAGTGACATCAGGTCACGTATGAACAACGCTCTCCCTAAATATTCTTTTTATGGTAACCCTGATGCCCTTCATATTATGCAAATTTGATCAAGCCACTTGCCTTATTTCAGCAACCTTCCATCACTCTTAAGGTCTGAAGTCAAAATCGTTTACATGGACCTCAAAGTCTTGCATGGCCTGTCCCTTGCTGCATTTCCCAGCTTCACCCTCCCCCTGTCAGTCATGACACTGCCTTCAGTATTTTGAAGCAAACTGCTTCTTCTCACCACAACACATCTTTCCCGTGCCTGAAAGACCCCATTCAATCACTACAACCAAGATAAGATTGGTCTTATTTTGCCGTTGATGAAAGGTCCCTGTGTCATCTTTTGTGCGTATGTGTGTGCGCCAGACTTTAAGACACTGGTTAGCGATCAGCCATCCACTGCCTCGGTGCTCTTGCAGCAGCAGAAATGCTACTATGGTGATGAATATTGCTGTCAAAATACTGGCCTTTATCTGATAGGGTGTATTTACTTGATGCCCCAATTAATATCTCCCTCTGGAGGAAGAGGCCTATTGCTTTGAAATGCGCAGGTATTTATGCGTATGTCTCTTGATGAACTGTCTAGACAGAAACAGAAACGCAGAGAAAGTGCCTGACAGAGCACGTTGCACTGTGCAAGGATCCACTTCCGCTTTACGTCGGCGGCATGTGTATAATCTGTGGGTCTGCCCAGCTAACCCCCTGCTCGGTGGACAATCTAGGTTCATGTTAAAGAAGCTCTGTAGGGTGTGGGAGTGGGGGTGCCTAAGACAAGACTAAGAGAGGGACAAAAGATAAAGCCGTAGTGTACAGAATCATGAGTGTAAGCCATTTGTAGCTAGAAAAATTCAGACTTCAGCATAGTGTAAATTTGGTGCTTTGAATCAAAGTCTTTGGAAAGAGTTCCCCTTTATTTCTCTCTTCTACCCCATAATCTCTCATTCCCAGGAGTCTTCCCCAAACTCCCTCTGAGGTCTTTGAGAACATGCCTCTTTCTCTCCTTCAACCTGTACCCACTGCTTTAAGAGTCCACTCCAAGCACACCCTGATCCCCAGCCTCTGTTGGTCTCCCTTATGTCAGAAATCACAAGCTGTGAGTTTCCAGCTGCCCACCAGAGCAGCGGGGAAGGGCTACCCCTGGCACTTGCAAGCCACCAGTCCTCCCACAGCACCTGGCTTTTCACCCCCTCTGCCTCTGCCACACACATTTGCTCTGAGGAGAAAGTCCCTGAGTTTTACTGGAAACCCATCTTCCATCTTATCAGACACTACGATCACAGAAAGAGTCACAAGGAATAGGCAGACGATCCCAGGCTCACACAAACACGTGCGGTTTTCAGAATAATTTTCTCAAATCCAACTGTTATCATCTGTTGTTAATAATTTAATGTTTTTCATAAACTTGTGAGAATTATTGACTTTTTAAAATTGAAAAGACAATGTGACTTCTTTTTTACAATGTGCATTTTTTAAGCTTGTAGTCTCTTTTCCAAGGTAGCATGATTTTTATTTTTGGAATTACTTTCCACATGCATACATAATTTGCGTAGTTCATTAACACACCACATTTTAGTTTATTCTATCATTTCTTCACGATATATCTAAGCCTTTTCTATGTTCCCGAATCCTTAGTTTTTATGTCACTTAGACTTTTAATTTCATGCTTACTGAAAGATATCTTTCAAACTTAGACATTTTGGCATCTATCTTGTGCATATATTAATAGGAAAACATAAATTAAATAAATTGGTTAAGGTATTTCTAAGGTGGTGACGGCCACTTGGCCGACAGCAGTTTAAAAACTGTCCTGACTTCACAGATGTTAAAATTAAAAAGGCAAAACATAAATTACTACAGACACAGCCCTTTGCTTAATAGATCAATCCCCCCTCTGTGGAAGCTCTCTGTGCACCTCTCCAGTCGTCCCCCCTCCCGCTCACCCTCTAGATGTCCACTACCCTGAATTTTGTGTTCTTTCCTTGCTTTTTTCCACACTTTTAGCAAGTATGTACCTCCAAACATACTGTTTGATCTTGTTGAACTGTACAAATGTTGAAATGTACATATGTATTTTTCTGATTTCCTTTTATTATTCAACATTCTGTGAGATTCACCCACACTAACATGTAGTGCTGGGTGTTCATTTTCACTCTTGTATAATATGTGCTGTAGGCATATACCACAATATAGCAATTCTCCTTTTTAATGAGCATTTGGGCTGTTTGCAGCGTTTTGCCACTACAAATCATTTTACTATAAACATTCTCCTAGTTGTCTCCTGGCAAGCGTATGTGAGCGTTTCTCCAGAGGATATCCCCAGGAGGAAGAATCGTTAAGATTAGATTGCAGTGGGCAAAACCCTTTTTTGCAAAGTGCCAGATAGTAAATATTTTAGACTTTGCAGGCCATACGGTCTCTGTGGCAACTACTCAATTCTGTCATTTTAATGTGAAAGCAGCCATAGGCAATGTATAAATGAATGGCTGTGGCTACATTCCAATAAAACTTTATTCACAAAAGCCATGCAGTTGGCAAGATTTGGCCCTCAGGTTGCCAATTCCTGATCTGGATGATAAAATTCTCTATTCTGATTGCCTACAAATGCTGCTCTACCACCTTTCCTCCCCTAATTATTCCCTGAGGATACGTGAGTCCTGTCTTCACTTAGTCCACGGACTGGACTGGATGTTCATAGTCAGGGACCTTCAGGGAGAAGTGGAAGGAGGGCATGGGACACGGCAGTGGTGATTCTTCCCAGCTTATAGTCTGGGACTTGCAGCCATAGTCTTGGGGAAACAAAAGGAAGAAAGGGGGTTGAGGCAAGGCAGGGAGCTCATATTATCTCTGCCAGGCATGGGAGGGAGGCAGGGTTCTGCCTGACTGAAGGCTGGGCTCTCAGGCTACAGCATGCTTCATGTCACAGAAGCCACTGTGAGGTCACTATCAGACCAGGGGACGTAAAAAGTCAAACAGAAGATAGCATCTCTTGTGCAGTTGCATGATTTCCTTTATTAAAGAAAGTTGGAATTGACTGTCTTGGGATACTTCCCTGAAGTGGGGTCTCTTGCTCCCTCCCGCCCTGGCCCCTAGTCAAAGGGACTTGGCTTCCATGACTATCGTCTCCATCATCTCAGAGGTCACCGTGCCGCAGATGCCCAGATCCTGGCTGCCCGGGGCTTTCTCCACCTTGGCCTCCACTTGGTGCTTCTCAACCGTCTTAGCCACAAAGTCGACATCTCTGCTCTGGGTGGTGACCATTGTTTTTGAACCCAGAATGACTCTGAAGCTCCTGAAGAAAGAGCCAAACCTATAGCATTTCTTACTTAAGGAATCTGAGCTGGTTGCAGATATGCTCTTCCCCCGTTTGTGAGCTGTCCCGGGCTCTTTTGTGGCGGAGCTGTGGCTGGAACTCTTGTGAGAGCTGTGTCCTCTGCCCCTGACACTGTCCTGCCCTTTCTCTTTCTTGTCATCTTTTTTGTTTCCATGGCCAGAAGAGGACCGGTGGGAGGATGATTTCCGGGTTGACTTGTGCCCTCTTCTCCTGTGGTGACTTTCACCTGTCATGCCGTGACAAGAACTTTTCCTGCTGGAAGGTCTGTCCGTCTTTTCTCGTCTTTTCTTTTTTCCCATCCGGATTTTGGTAGTGGGCTGGCTGACCTTCTGGCTTCCATCCTGCTCACACATGTAGCCTTCACTCTGCAAGGTCGAGATGAGGGGTCCTGTCCCTGGGCATTTGGGTCTTCCTGCAGCAGGCTTGCTGTATGCCACTGCACCTGCAAATACCACATCCATGCTGCTCCCTGGGGAGACACTCGTGGCCGCGGGCATGATCACAGAAGTGGCTATGGAGGAGGTGATTACGGCACCCTCCAAGACCACATTGGTGCATTCTGAGGAGAGGTTGACAGCACCTGCAATGGCCTTGTTGGATCCAATGTCTCCCAGACACTTGCTGGTGGCTCCCGCCAGAGTTGCACTCGGCTGGCCGGCACCTGCAGTCTCGCAGGTGGCAAGGCTTATGGCGCCTGCCTCAGCACTCGCTGCCGTTCCTGCCGCTGCCATGCAGGCAGCTACTCCACCTGCTAGGCCTTCGGCAGCGCCTGCCGTTTTCATGGCTACAGGTTCACTGGTTTTTTTGTGGCAGGCATGATGCAATCCCTCTCTCCCAGCATAAGCGGAAAAGGTGGCTCCGGACACCTTATGGGACTTGTGACACCCAATCACATCTTGATATATTTCTCCATGGAGCTCCACAGTCTATGCCAAGGGGAGGAGAAACAGTTGAGATGAAAACAGGTAAGATAAACATGAGACCAAACTGTCTGCTCCCCTCTCCTGATGGAGCTGAGCAACTCATGGGCTTATAATTAGAAGAATCTTTGAAATCATCAAGTCTAAGCTCCTATTTGTTGCAATGTTCCATCTACAGCACCCCTGTCAAGTGGTCGCTCAGTTTTACATGAACAGTCCCAGCACCAGGGAAAGCACTGATACAATTCCCCATCCTTGTATACTTTTATTTTACTGGTGGCTGCCAAAACAAATTGTACATGTGCAGACACACACAAGAGCTGTACTGATTTTCATCAGCACATTATCACCACGGGGAGACAGAAGGAAGGAAAGACTTCCCAATGTTGACATGTTCCATGACTGATGAAACAGCCTGGGATGGGAAAAATGTTCAAGAGGAGATTGGGCAAGCAGGATGCTGCAGAAGGGAACACAGCCCTGGGGCTGAAACCAGAGGAGCTGATACCTAAATGCCCTCTGAAATTAGGCCTTGGGGGAAAATTTGGAGAAGTACTTGGAACCTCTCAGTATGTTAAGTCCCATTGTGGTGGCTCATTTGGCCCTGAGCCTTTTCAAATGGGATGTATTTGCAGGTGAGAGCCTCCGAGAACACCAAAGGCTTTGTAGGACTAGCTGAGCTGCTCTCCCCAAGCACCCTGCCCCGTTTTCCTGAGTCTCAGGAGATGCTTACCATTAGGCTTTTGTCATTCTCTATTGTTGTTGCATCCACAGATTGTAGTATTGGGGTACTACTGTAACTCTCCAGGGATGGCCTCAGGAGGTAAACAAGTTTTTCCCAGTAGCCAAACAGGTCTTTTCGTGCATCCAAAGAGGGATACAGCTGCAGATAAAAAGTACGGCCAGTGGCAAGCTTTAGCCGCAGCTGCTGTTTCTCACGATCATGGGTAGAGATCTTGACAAATGTCAAGGGAAGCAGCCTGGTGAGCTCTAGGGTCTTCTCGGGCTTAAGACCTCTCCCCTTGGCGGGCAGGGCATGTCTGACACAATCTTCGCAGGCTTTGGTTGGTCGGGCGAGCAGCATGACGTCAGGTAAGGGGAGGACAGGGCTGGTGGACACGATGCCTACAGTCACCATTTGGACATGATTGTGTACATCAATCATCTCTCCTTTTTTGCTGATTTGTATGAAGTTACTCTCAAACATTGGTGTGTACCTGAAAATGTCATACTCTCCTCCCTTGTACAGCTGTCTTTGCAGGTCCCCCATGGAGATATTGAACATGTCCATTGAATGGTAGCTGTGGGCCGTGTAACAAGGTAAATATTCACTCTTCATGGTTCTCTTCATTCAAGACAGCTCCTGCAGCCACAAATTGAGTTCCTGAGAGAGAGAGAGAGAATGAAAGCAACTGCCCATCTCCCTGCAGGGCTTTGCTGAAATCTCCTCTCACCACCACCTTATCCTCCACAGTCCTTTGTGACCTGTCACCATCACATACCCCTTTGTCCCAGCCTCCATGCTGTCACCCCAGGGCGGGGCCACCAGCCCCCCTCAAAACAAACCACCACCTTCCAAGGGAACAGAATTACCCTGCCACCCTGTAGGCTGGATGTTCTTTCTAATCAAAATGTTGGGACGCATCATTTATAAAACCAGTCTGCTTTTGTACATATATGGATTGTGTCCATTTTTTTTGTCGTTGTTACAGATATCCCTGCAATGATCATCTCCCTAAAAACATATTTCTGCTTCTGCTGAATTATATCCTGGGGATAAAATCCTGGAAGTGGATCGTGTGCTTGCTGTCACGGTTGTAGCCCATGTCCCCAGTGGGTAGCACAGTACTGGCAGGACCTCAGAAGTAGTGTTGAATGAATGGCTGAAGGGGTCAACTGTCAGAATCAGAGTCCCATTTATTTAGTGGTTTCTAAGGTATTGAGGACTTTCTCACCCATTGCCTCATTTGAAAGATGCTAGTTTTTAAAACCATTTCATTTCAAGGTAAGAAACTGAGGCTCAGGATGATCTTGCTCAGAGTCAGAATGCAGACCCGGATTCTATCCCAGGTTTGTGACTCAGGTCAGGGCTTTACTCTGCCTCAAGCTGCATGGCTCACCACTAGACTCTCATTCCGCACCAAATACGGAACTGTTTGTGCTTAGCCATATGCGTGGGGACTTACTGGGGACCACAGGAATTCATGGAGGTCTTGAATCACAATAGGATTTCCCACAAAGGGTATATGCCTGCTGCTTCACTCTTGATATCTACCTGATAAACCACTGACGTTTCCTTTCTTTGAAAGGCTCTTCAGAGAAATTATGGCAAAGATACCTTTTAGGAGTTTTTTTTTCTTTGCACACGGTGTTGAATCCAAATTCCCCCTCCTCCAGTTAGAAGATTACTTCTGAAATAAAAATACATCCCCCAAACTTAATGATTACTATGTGGAGGTCTTGAAATAAACTTCAACCCCAAAACGCTCTTTTTTCTGTATCCCTAGTGCCTATGCAGTACCTGGCACATTGCAGCTTTTTAATAAATATGAACTCACTTGTGCCCAGTGAGATTCAGTCTTCCATTTATTTACTCAAAAAAGTCTATTGAGCAAGTACTATTTTAAGGACCAGTTAGAAAATGGAAGTGTAAAGGTGAAGTCTCTACCTCTGAAGAGCTAAAATATTTTTTTCTGAAGATGTTAAATGACTTCTTCAAAAAGCAGAACAAAGTGGTTTACCTTCCATTATAAGGAGATAATCTCCAAAAGTTAACATTTTGGGTTTAAAAGTAAGAAGTTGGGTTTTTCTATATTATACTCAACTATATATTCATCTTGTAAGTCCTTTTCTGAGGAATTATTAATAATGAGAGAGACCATAATCATATTTTTTATTGAGAACTTACTATATGCCAGGCATGGTGGTAGCCACTTTACATTCTTTTAAAAATTTAATCTACATACAACAGTCCTGCAAAATGTAGGTGCAACTACTGTCCTTGTTTTATAGAGGAGTCAATCAAGGAAGGCTCAGAGAAGTTAAGCAACTTCATCAAGGTCACAAGAGACTAAATGCATATGGAAGATTGCAAATGTGGCAGTAAACTATACTAGATGGGATCACACAAATAGAACACAGACATACTTGTACTGTACAGCACAAATTCATCTGTTCATTTAACTAATACTGCGAAGTGCCTACTTTGTGCCAGGCCCTGTTCTAGGTGGTAGGAATACGTCAGTGGACGTGCAAACATCTTCATTCTCATGGAGCTTGTAGAGAGACAATAAATGAGTAAAATATGTGAAACGTCCAATGCTCATATATGCAATGCAGAAAGATAGAGGAGGCTAAGTGGGGTGGGAGTATGTGCGGGGGAGAGGTTGCCGTAGGTGGTGATGAAGGAAGTGACCTTTGAGCGGAGGCCTGGAGGAGGTCAGGGAGAAAGTCATGCAAACATTTGGGGAAGTTTCTCAAGATCAGAGGGAATAGCAAGGGCCAGATCCTGAGGCAGGAGCATGCCTGGTGTCTTAAAGGAGCACTGAGGGGGCTACAGTAACCATGGCAGAATGAGGGAGAGTGGATGAGGCCTGGAGGCAACTGTGGTAATGGTAGGGGAGTAAGACGTAAGATGGACCTTGTACGACGTGGTGATGTCTTTGGCTTGGCTCCAAATGGGAGGTGATCTGACCTACGTACACAGAGGCTCATCCCGGCTGCCACGTTGAGAAGAGATCATGGAGATGCAGAGGACGGAAGCAGAGACCAGATGGCTCCTGCTGGAGATGCTGGTGGGTGCGACTGTGTGTGGGAGCAGCAAAAGTGGTGAGAAGTAATCATGTTTTGCCTGAGGCAAGTATTATTGATGTTGAACAATTTTCAATAAATATCAGTAAGTAAATAAAGCAAGTTGCAAAATAGCATACATGATATGCTGGATTTTTTTAATAGAAAAAATTTTAATGTGTGTGTGTGTGTGTGTGTGTGTGTGTGTGTGTGTATGAAAGGCTGCACAAGAAATTGGTGACAGGAGAACCTTGGGGCAGCTTGTGGCAAAGGAACGTGGTGGGGTGGAGACTTAGCTTCCTAGGGCATTCTCTTTTATATCTTTCAGATTTTGTTCCATTGCATATACAGTATTTACACAAAAATAAAGAATACTTTAAGTTTATAGATTTATAAAAATGTTATGCCAGTAAAATTATACTCTTAGAATATTCATTGATTCAAGCTTTGATATATAAAAGGAGTAAATAAATAGCATTATCCAAACTTAATTCTCTGGCACAAAATTTCAGAATTTGAGAACCAAACTACAAAATATCATTCAAAATTTATTTTCTGATTTTTCTTTAAGACCTCTCAAAAACTTACTCTCTCCTCCCCTAATTTAAAAAGTCTGAAACACCCCCTATCAGAAAAAACTGGAGATGGTAAGTCAAGATGTATTTATTAATTGGCCACTCTGTGCCCATCACTGTGCTAAGAACACTTTCAGGCGGTCAAAATATTTGTTTGAAAAATGTTTAAACTTGACTCTCATACAAATATAGAATGAAAACACGTTAAAGATTTAATTCACTCATGAATGAGGGAACTAGCAGGATGGTAAAACCAGTCTGAAGGAGGGTCAGAGGAAGAGTCATTGGCACTGGGGAAAGAACGTTGGGTTAACGTTACAGGTGAATACAGAGGTTCAATGTCTATAGGGCAGTAAAATCATGATCTTTGGGATTATATGTTCTACCAAACAAATCATCTGCAACTCTTCTAAGTGAAAATCTGTAGATTGTTAACAGTATTTCAAAGTCTGAGACTTTAATTGAGACTTCTTGGTGTGCTGAAAATGTCCTACAGGTGCATTGTGATAGTGACACAACTCTGTGAATAAACCAAAAACCACGCACGCTTGCAATGCATGGACTTGATGGCATGTGAAATGTATCTCAACAAAGCTGTTGAAATAGTAGATAGCAATACTTCAGTTCTAACTTACTGATCCAATCCCATTGTCTTTCTTCCCTTCTCTTAGACACTTAGATAATCGTGAAGTCGGCATGTTAAGGCTCCAAGATGATAGTCTGCTTTAAGTTTTTTTTACAAGGAAAGTACATATCTGCTTTACAATTTTTTTATTTGCAAGTTTTGGGTAATTTTTCTTAACAAGGAATATAGCAAGGCATGTGTAATCCATGACCCTAATTTTAGAAAGTTTGCAGTCTCCTAGGAGAACACATTGAAACATCAGAAGCCAAAACAGGAGGACAATGAAATACAAGATAGAGTAACAGTGAATGAGTGGAATGAATAGTGGACCTCATAGTACCAATTGCAATATTTAAAAACCAAAAACAATTGTTTTGTAAGAAGAAAAACTGCCCAAACCACATTCTAAAGATAGTTTTCTATACATTTTTAATTGGCGTAAGATAGAAGAGGTGTGTAAAGTGAAAGCACAAAACACTGTATATGCTATACTGAGTATATGTAGACAAGCAAGATTATAGATAGTTGAAGTATGCGTATTTATCATGGGAAGAGGCTTCAAGTCAATAACTTTTGTTCCTCACCTATTATTTTGACAGGCAAGGCAAGCAGACAGCTATATATAGACTTTTCAATGAATATGCCCCTGCCAGGGCACTGTCAGCTAGGCAGGATGTGAGGGTGGGGAGATTTCCATACTGTACACAGTATGTATCTGCTGGGTAAATCCCCAGGCCTGAAATACAATCCACTGTACTTTAATGTCAATGCTGCAAAACCAGAGAGCGTGGGGTGAGCTGTGGCTGGCCTTAGGCTCCTAGGACTTCAGGAAGCCAACCTGATTTCTGCCCTACCTTTTGGTTGTTAGAGAAAGATACAGCCACCCACCTAGACTCTTCCCCAGAGGGCCACTATGCAAATCAGTTTGCTTTTGCCTTGGTTTTAAAAAGTGAGCTGATGCACAAAATAAGCCAGACAGGTGTTCTAAATTTTATTTCTCAGTATTATGATCTGACCAGTGTCACTTCTTGTCCCCTTCTACCTTCTTTCTGCATCCTTCTTTCTTCTGTCCTGCTCATCAATACTAAGCCCCACTCCAAATTTCCGCCATGCTTGTGACAGTCTTAATGACTGTTTACCCTCTTTCAGCTTCCAATTTTGCTATTTATAAGTCATGAGGTTCCCACCTCAGTTTATATATTTATTTCTGTGGTGTTACACTGAAGAAGCTTGTAATCACATACACACACAAGTAATAAAACAGTTAACATTAAAGATAAAAATAAAGATTAGAAACTGTATAGCAGAAGAGGCAGTTAACTCACTCATGCAATGCAGAAAGATAGAGGA